TGAAAGAGATTCCCCTCGTACCCTTTAGAAATGAAGTTGGTGGAGGGGGGAGCTTGGGGAAGTGACAACAAGTCTGGACGCAGTGGCGAACAGAAATCTCTGCCCGTAGCCTAATCAGTGTATTGGCTTTGTAAATGGACTTGAAAGCAACTGGAAAATGGGTGTGGAGAAGGATATTTGGTGCAGAAATTGTCAAACAATTACAAAAAAAAATGGAAAAGGGGAACTGTGAAAGCTTGTTAATAAATATAAATCTAAACTGCAGTGTTTATCAACCGGTGTTTCCTTACGTCTGGGAGTTATGAGGACGTTTTTCGAGATATTATCGGATGATTGTGTGAAAATCGATAGTGTACAGATATCTGGCATTGATTGCCTTATTGGAAAGAGGGAATAAAGAAAGAAAGTAACAAGCAAAGAGGCAGGTAAGGAAAGTAACTGGTTTTCTCATGTTTCTGCCGTTGTAAAACAGTCAAAAACATATTCTGGGTCATTAAAAAGCAAATTTTGAACTTCGCGTCACTTGTTACAACGTCTCGAAGTTCTCTGCAATTTCCATCGATTTCCCACGTTCTCCATACGGTGTGAACCAGCGCAAAAATTATTTCTTTATCAATCACTGGTTGACGAATACAGAGACACAATAAACTCTGGCCTGACTGCTGCAACCTGCACGACAAGCCACGTGCTCTTTGTCTGAGCGTACCTTTGGCGGTGAAGATCTGGCAACAACGGGCAACCAGTCCAAAGCTTCAGTTCCTATGGCCGCGGATTGATATTTAATTTTGCGTGCCGTACGAAACAAGTTTCAATTTATGGCTCGTATCTGCCTTCTTTAAATGGTACCTAGTGTTCACAGCAACATTTCCATTGGTTCTCCGGTTGCAAAAGTGTCAAGGCTGTCCCAAACAGTGCATTAATTCTTACCGGCCACTCCTTTCATTTAAACTCATGCCAGGAAGTGGTTTTCGTTCGGTGGCGTTGTCCCGTGCGAAGCTTCTAGTGGTAGGCGCAAGGGTAGGCAACCTTATAACGAGAATAGCAATTTTTTTTATAATGTTCTTATATATAGAGAGAGACTGTGCCGACCTCGTATGTACTGATTTGTACATTTTTATTATTTTATATAATTTATACAATTTAATGTAATATATTTCAGCTGTAACTTTTAAAAAAGGAAACTTGTAATTTTCCATGATGAATTCACAGATATGTAAACAAAAAAAATGCAGATTATTTATATTTTCCGTGGAAATCTAAATAATTTAACGCAAGTTTGTGATATGAAGGCAATTTCATGTATAATACACAAGACTATAACATAATTAGTTAAACATAGTCTACGTTCGACATTAGACTATATTATTGATGAACTAATTAACAAATATAGTTCGCAATGCGACACGCGTTTGTGCGTGAGATGAATAATGAACTTGCCAACCCCTGCGTTAGCAGATAGAGTTAATTAAGAGTCCACGTTTCCCTAAAAACGGTTTGTGAGAGTAATTTTCTAGTTGTATGACCTGCCATTCAGGACTAATGTTCTCATGACTGCCAGGAGTTGGGATCCGAGGGGTGGTGGTCCTTATTTGCATAAGTCTATTTGAGTGCGATGTCCCACAGCACGCGTGACGCGAGTGCACATCAGCTGCTACCAAGTTCAGGCATTACCGCTTTCAAACCTCAGGTTTTATTGCGATTAAGAAGTCTTCTCACGAGACGGCCTTGAGAGTGCTTTCAAACCTCAGGTTTTATTGCGATATGGTTAATTTTTCTAACCACAGTAAGAAGTCTTCTCACGAGACGACCTTGAGAGCAGAGTATCTGAGTCCTAGAGGAGACATCTTTTCCAATTTGTTTCCCTCTTTCAGTCGTACTTCTCTCTTCCTTCCCCATCCATCTTTATTTATTTATTCATCCATCCACTTCTCTTTCTTTCTTTCTTTCTAGATTTGTTTGTTTAGTTCGAATGCATTCTTTCCTGAAGAGCAAACCACGAAAGGCATAACGAGGTGAATGTGCCTGGCCGATTTTAACCAAAACGGGCAAGTGTCCTACATTTTAGTAAAACTTTCCAATATTAAATTTAATAAAAAATTTCTCAGCAGTTTTCGAGTTGTAACATGCGGGCAGACGGACACTTTTTTTTTAAAATGGGGCTATTATTATTATTATTATTATTATTTAGTGTTCTGTCTGTCGATAGGTCCATATGAACAGGATCCTTCCATCCTTTTCTCGGACTGGGACCTGTTCATATACGTTCTTGGCAGATGATCCAGAAGTGTTTTGCCATTGCCTTCTTCTGTGTGTGAATGGAGTAATTGTTGGGATGCCACGGAGGAAAACTCCGTGTTGCCTAGACCACGGCCTTGCCCAACACAAGTTATAAATTCGGGCATCGCCGGGAATCGAACCCGAGACCCCAGGATTACAAGGCCAGCTAGACCACCGTTATTTATACCACGCATTGAAAAGTAATAAATTACACACAAACACACAATGTTGTTATTACTGTTATTAGCCGCTGCACAGAATGTGAACTGCGGCGTTCATACCTCACGCGAACTCATTTGTAATGAATGGCCTTATGCATTGTATTCCCACGAAACTGAGGGCACCTTACTTATCAAGTCAGCGGGGCAAGGCAGTATTTAACAGAGCTTCGAGAAGGCTATTCGGAGTTTCAACATAAATTATCCAAAATCAAAAAACAAGTAAGCCTGGGAAATTATTATTGCGCATAAGCACAAATTATAGCAGAAAACTACTGCTTATGGATAATCAGACTAATGCACCAGTTTTATCAAACCCAATTCCCTGATTCTGTAACAAAATATATTCTTATTTATTGTAATATATCTGTGTCTCCGTGTGCGCCCATTTATGACTACTGAACCATTTGACGGATTTTTATGAATTTTGGTATGAATATTATACCAGTAGCGGCCACGTAACTTTTCTGATTTCTAATTTGGCATCATCAGATACGGCAGACGTTCGAACTTCGCCAGGTAACATAAGTTGTGTGTCTGATAATGAATCTTAGAAACATTTTCACCTTCATCTCTGTAGTATGCGAAAAAAAAGATCGAAAATATAAATCTCACATGCCCAGGCATGTGAGATTTTGAAATAAATACAAATTTCTGTTACCAAATATAAAATGGCTGTGACGCAAATATTTAAATTTGTATATGAAAATATCGATATTGTATTAGTAGAACAAATAAATTATCAAAGTGTATTAGACTTACTAATTAATTTAGTCTGTACTACATGTCAGCCTCACCGTAAAGGATTTAGTATTTGAAGGAATGTAGGCGTCCTACGTCTTTCCAAAACTTTAGTGTGCAACCAGAGACTCAGTCTTGATGGACACAACGCAGCTGATTAAATTTCGGTGAAATATTTCCCGGAAATTATTGTGTAGGAGGCAAGGAAGTTCTACACATCGTACTGAAGCGAAAGGTTTCAACGCCCATCCTTCTACCTGGAGTAATTAATATAGAAGTAATCAGTATAATTCAATTCTTCAATTCAATTCTTTTTATTAGAATGCTGGATCATTAGCCAGACAGCCAATTACAGATTCAGCACAACTAAACAAAGTAAATACAATAATCTAATAATAATAATAATGTTATGTCTGCAATTGATATCAGAGTTA